TGGGCTACAAAAGATAGCACGTTTTTAAATCATGTAAATATCCATATTTGAGAATACTTCATATTTTTTATAAAATTACAGTGTATAACATTATTACTCTATAAAAATTGCCATGTTTCAATAGGAGGGATATGGTATAGGAGATGATGAATTTTCTTTGGCCTACGATGGCTGTCGCAGACTGATTTGGTATAATGCACGAAGTGAAAAATTTCACGACAGACCATGTTGGAAATCTGGTGACATCTTGGGTTGCTTATTGGATTTAAACAAATTAGAAATAGTATTCTCTATCAATGGTATACCACTTAAACCATGTATTCAAGTATTTAAAACAGTAAGGTATATATATATATTTTTTAATGATTTTATATCACATGAATATCCAAACAAAATCTCTAATGATATGATTATTTTTAGATCTGGATTCTTTGCAGCGGCTAGTTTCATGTCATTCCAACAATGCTTATTTAATTTTGGACATGTACCTTTTAAATATCCACCTACTGATCGAGAATTTCAGAAATTTAACGATTATGCTACGTTGAAACCAGAAGATAAGATTGTACTTCCTAGACACATATATCTGGATCAATTGCGAAGGCTTAGTGTTAGAGAAGATTCCTGTACATTATGTTTCGATCAGAGGGCTTCTGTGAGATTATTGCCATGCAATCATAGGTAACAATTGTATTTAAATTCGCGTTTCATAAAACAATAATTTTTTACAAGAATATATATAATAATCAATTTATCTTATACAGAGGATTTTGCCAAAAGTGTTCAAAACAACTGATTGAATGCCCAATGTGTAGAGCTACTATTGAAGAAGTAGCCTCAGATAACATGTGACATCGATCATCTCATATCAACGTTTACGAATTCTTTCATTTCTTTTTTGTCATACAATTTTTATGTATGAAATATCACGAGATAATCATAATTATAGATAGTTATTTACGCCGTATATATACAATTATTACGTGTCACATAGTATTTTTCTCTATGCAATACAGAGCATTAATAAATGGAAAGAATTACAAATTAGTTATAGATATACGAATTCCGTGATAGTGCATTGCAAAGATTGAATAAGTTTGTATTTTAAAATCAAATATTGATGCGTAAACAAGTGTTTTACAAAGACAAAACATTCTCCTTGAAACTTTTCCATATTTCTCTATACTTTTTCTACAATATAGATTTATAATAAGATACTTTGTGATTTAAACGATATCTTCATGATTCTCATGAATATTAACTTCAAAAGATTAAAATAATTTATAAATGGCTATATATTAATTAAATCAATATGATTAATGAACAGAGAATTAACCAGATGCAAGAAAATTACAATAGATCGGATAAAATCATAAATCAGAAGGCAGGCATAAATTAAAGAAAACTAGAAGCTCAAATTTCATATAAAGCACTTTTGAGAAGTTACGTATGTATTTAAGGAACAGACTTCTAAAATGCATTTTGTCCAAAATTCATTTTTTTAGTTAAAGATGATGTTCAGTGTTGAAAGACTCATATTTTGAGCTCTATGATATTCTGAAAACATTGCTACACTATTAATTTATGTGCTGAAAAAAAATCTTGACATTCGAAGTGCATTATGTCCTTTAACTAGGGACAAACAAAATGTATTTGTAACATTTTTAGCAACTGTTTAGCAATTTTATTGAACATTTCACATCTTACTGATTGTTATTTTCTGTAAGACGCACAGTTTTCTTGTGACTTTCTTTCTTGTTTTCTGAAAATTATGAATTTTGAATAAAACGTTGAATAACGCATTTTGAAAGTCTGTCCTTCATTTGTTATCACAAGAAATTTATTAGTCAAACAAAACTTGTCTATTGACTAGTAGTTTTTTATGATATCGAATACAATGGTTACTCTATCGATTGTGTTTATTGATCCTCACTTTGAAACTTATGACTGAATCATAAAATTTGAAAGATTATTTATTTACTAACTCGAAAATATATTTCCTTTATTATAAGTAGAAATACAAAAGTTCAGATTATATATCTTCGAACTGTTTAAGTTTTTGATAAGTTGCGTAAGTGAACATTTATAACTAGTGATATAATGTAAATGTAAATTTACTTTTAAGGAACTGTGAAAAATAATAATAGTATATATTATTATATTAAAGTACACACACACCACATTCACACACATACACATATTATATTCTTGGGAAGATATAAAGAGAAATTTAATGTTTTATCATATACATGTATTTTGCAAACATTTTTTTATAAAGTCTTATTTTCGTTATCAAAATACCTCTCCCATTATTCTAATGTAAATAACACCCGATATTTCATCTGACAATGAATGTACGTTGTAATTCAAAGAATAACTCATTTACGATCTCTACTCTTTTTAGCAATAATGTATATGCGTTTCACTCAGTATCAAAATTAGATATAACAATGCTCTACAAGACTTTTTGACAAGTTCCTCTATTTGTTCCTTCTTACATAAATTAATAGTATAACTTGAAGGGTATCATATACTTCATTATGTGGATATTTGTAAATTAATTGAATCATGTGATTAAAACTTGTTTGTATTAAAACAAAATCATTAAAATATAATTTCAGATAAAAACGTCGCCATTTCTACTCGTTTGAAATGCCATTGCATATCATTAAAAAAATTGTTATAAGATTAAATAGAGTTGTAAGAAACTATGTGAGAGAACATTTACCTTGCGTTGACATGATTCCTGTAATCACAGCAATTTTCAGCAAGATCGATCCATGACTGCATTATCAGCCTCCAAGTTTCTGAAAAATAACGTATGTCTCGTATAAAATTAGATGTAAAAATAGTCGTCTGAAATATTTCCTCCAAAATAGAAGATGATCGCCATATTATGACATTTCAATTAATTTGCACATAATAGATTCATCATTGTATAAGTAATATTACATGGTTGCATGGATCTTACTCGACGGAATTACCGCACATTTGTATTAAAAACATCGCATCATATTTACATATAACGATTTATTATTTTTCTTGATATTTCATGTTTACGTCTATCTTTATACAATATTTATTCTCTACGTAATTTATAGAAAATATAAAAAATTAGATATAATTATATCTATTTTTTAAATATTTTCTATAAATCATTTACGCTCCTTTTATATATTTACATTTATATATAAAAAATTGAATATAATTATAGGATGTAAGGTGCGGTAAAAAATTTTGCTATGAATGCTTTGAAGCATTTGATTGACTAATCAAATGAAAACATTTTAGGAATTAATCAATCAAAAAATGCTTCAAAGCATTTGCAGCATCGCATTGACCGTACCTATTAATTATAAGGTGAAGTAATTAAAAGCACTTAAATTTACAACATGCTACAATTAAAAAAATATATATTAATTACGTTTCAATTTTCTTGACGAAATATAAGAATCATCTTCATGTGTTTTTAACATAGACATCTATTTCATCGAAATATCCATGCTAATTTGAAAATGTGCAGCAATATCACGATCGACAAAATGACGTTGGTTGCGGAAGTTCGCGAGAATTGATGCATTCCGAAGACCGCTTGTCGCTTTAGTCAGTACTCCCAATAAAAATTTACATTTATTACGTTTTAAATCGATAAAATTCACGATTATTTCTAGAAGCGTTCAAGCCCGCGTTCTGAAGCATTCTGAAGTGACGCGACGCGAAAATCGTCATGGCGGTCGGTCGAGTCTATTAATGATGCAAAGGGAGGAAGATTGATACTATTATTCCCAATAGCAAATTTTTCAATAGACATCATAGACGAACGGAATATAATTCACGATGATTTATATTTTCAACATATTTTGTGAAAAAGATGCTAATAATTCCCTATTTGAAAAAAATATATATATTATTAATATTGTTTCTTGAATAGAAATTTAAACTCACTGTACCGATTTCAAAGTTGAAAGTATCCTACTCCAATAATAGATTAAAATGGATTGAAATTTTAATCTATTTGAATTATTCGAATGCATATATTGTATAGCATTCATATGTCTATTATTTTTACTTTTCTTTTAGATTCAATTGGATAAAAAAACTTTTTTTAGATTCAATCGAATTGAAAAACTGCGTTTCAGAATTTTGAATTTAGCTATATTCATGATGCACTTAGAAACTGAAAATTTCTTAGATTGAAAGGCATAGAAATGTGCTTTATGCAATTCCTATAAATAATAAAAATGAATCCAGATTTTCAGAAGTACGTTGGGATTAAAAAAGATTCATTTCAACGATCGCGAATGCGTACTTTTTGAAAATCTGAATCCATTTCAATCAATTCTATCCATTCTTGTTTATTAAAGTACGAATCTTGTGCATTGAAAATGCACCCGCTTGGCCGCCATGACAGTTTCCACGGAACTTCAGTTCGGTACGTAGAATAGAACGCGATCGATCGCTCCGCGAAGTGATCGTTAATTTTTACCATTAAAAGTGTCCAATGTGCGTGAATGTTTATCGAGAGTGTCGATTAAAGTGACGGATGATCTTTGGAACATATCAGTTTTTGCGAGTTTTAGCAATCAACGCTGTTTCGACAATCGCAATTGATATACGTCATGCTTCGAAAGCCGGTGCAGTTCCGTGAGTACAAAATCCAATGCATCATCTCTGTCTAAAATGAATAAATAATAGTTATATTCTTTTGAAAGAATCGAAGATCAATCGATTTTTCATTAAATTTAGTCAGAAAAGTAAATTATAATTAATCATTGAAATAATTACGATAAAAAAATTTTCAGGCATCGTTTTGACTTAACGACATATATATACGCGTCATTTTCTACATTACTGAAATGAAAATAATTGAAAGGAAAGATCGTGCGGCGCGAATTCGAATTTCGTTGATATCGATGATCACGCCGCGAGTATCATATCGAACGAATCTCGATTCGCGCTGGATTAGTTAGGCGCGCGGCCGCGAGAGCGCGCCGCAGTTTGTTACAAGATGGCGGGTGAGTGAGTGCCTGTGGATGGGACAAGACCGCTCTAAAAACACGAGGGATTTTCCACTAACCCGTGGTGTTTGTGGGTTTCAGATATATCCTACATCCAGACAGAGGATCTAGAGGACCCGGACGAGGGTGAGTAACCCCATGCGTGTACGCGCACGCGTATTTTACGAGGCCGCCGTCGGTGCGGTTTGCACGCACGCGACGGCAGAGCAAGCACCGTTTCTACGACTCGGCTGAGTATCGTGGCGACCCTCCTGTCGGCGAGCACTCCGCCCCCTCCGGATGTTTCGAGGTATGTGTGTGTGCGTGCCGCGTAATGCGTGGCACGCGGAATTTGTCATGATGCGGTGTGCTTCCAGCGCTGCTCCCCGCCATGGGTTTCGAGGTTAGGATCGCGGCGCGAGGCCGGGCGTGCCGCGATAGACATCGCGAGCATTCCGGCCGTCATAGGGCGGAGAGGGTTTCACGCGGGGTGACTGCTCCCGCACGCACACGGTCGTAATAAGTCGCCGCCGCGCGCGGGGAGTGCGTTTTGCGGGATCACGGGGCGGTTCTGTTCGTCGAGAGGGGGCGCCACGCCACGCCACGCCGCGCGCCGTGTTTATCTCAGCGAGAAGGAAAAAAGGAGGATAAGGAGCGACGGCTGCGGCGACGAGAAGGAAAAAGAGAGAAAGAGAGAGAAGGCATGCGTTCGCGTCGTATAAGTATCTCTCGTCGCCGCCGTTGTGCTTCTCGGCGAGAATGATTGCGAAAAAATGTCAGTCGAAACTGGATCGCCTTTTCCAATAATGGAGCAACCACCTGCATTATAAACATAGATTATGATACTCACTGGCGCCAGGTCGATAATGATCTTGGGAGATTTTACATGGCGCCAATGTTCGGAATGTGTTAGTTGTCAATCACAGTTGGAATGTTCCAGCTCAAACTCGACATTATCGAGAAAATTGACACTGCACGACGATCGTATTGCATGAAAAGTATTGCGTTGATTAATCTTGAGATCAATAATATTAGAAATGTTTAATGCTATTGTTACGGTAGATTTATCTTGCACGGACTCCTGTTGAACTCGAAGTAGACGTAGAAATCTTCCTCGCTTGTCTATAATGTAGAAATGTAAATTTATCGAAAGTATAGCAATTTTAATCCCTGTTAAAGATATGGTGGAGCAACCTCAATTTTGTGGATGAGAAACAAGAGTCGAATATATGATTGATATATACAAGGCACATGTGGATACCATTATAACTGAAAACGCATAATGACCGTCCGCCGACGTCTAAAATACAGTGTATTCGAGGCGCAGAGGAGTTCAGACGAAGGTCAGAGTCACGAAGAGTGGCGGCATCTCGGCAGATTAAAGAAAACGGCGCAGTTAGCGCGCGCGATTCCTTCCCCTATCGGGGTTACTGATCTCGGGTTTCTCTTCTATTTGCGAGTGCCATCTGTCGTAAATAGGGTCGTATCAGGGATTGCTGGTCCTCCCGATGATCCAAAAACTCGCTCGAGTTTCCTCACGTTTGTAACGAGAAGAGCTGCGAACGCTCGTACGGATCCCGAAGGCACTTTTCTAGTCAAATGCAAATAATTTGTCTCATGATTATGCGTCACATAATGAGCTCCAGTTCGTTCCGCTTCGAACATGCATACGCATTTATCTTCAATCTTCCTTCTCCGTTTCTCTCTCATCCTCGCGAGTATCTTCTCCGTCGACGCCGACCAAGCTGGTCCTAGCCGCCTTTATCTTGCATTCCAGAGACCGTTTTATCAGCACCGCGCCGCTTATATTTCTAAACGTGTCTAGATAGAGAGAAGTATTCGGATCAGTAACCTTCTCCGATGCCCAAGCCCGCTTAGATCTAGATCGAAGCAATCGAAAAGACGTTCCGCATAATATTTATTGCATAGAGTAAACGTTATAATCAATCATGAGTCATTGGTGCATAATAATCAAATTTTTTCTAATTGTATTATATAAAAAATTGATTCTATATATAATTATTTCATAAATGAGCATGATATAAACATCTATTTTAAACAGATCTGTTATAAAATTAGCACATAAAAGTTGACTGATAGGTTTTTATTATATAATAAAAAAAGTTTATTTTAAGGAAAAGGAGAATAGTTATTAAAAGGGTTTCTTAATTAACCATGATTAACGCAAGTTATTCTACAATCTTATTGACTATATTGTCATTTAGACTGAAAGGGACGTCACCCAACTGTCTAGCACCGATTTAATTCTCTGTGAAATACGTTGTTAAACACAAAAATCTAAGAGATACGTATTTTTTTTTTATACGTGCGCTAACTCATGTTTAAGGGATGAAACATCCCTTTGAAAAAAACGGTATTTCTATTTCGAACCGAATATCGTCGGAAATATAAAAGATGGAAAAAAATTTTTTAAACAAAAGTTGTACGGTTTCAAGAGTTTTTATTTTAATGTTGTGAAGAAAAAAGATTTAAAAAATTTTTTTATTAACAATTGTTAAAAGAATTAAAAAAAATTTTTTTCATCACAACATTAAAGTACTCTCGAAACCTTACAACTTTTATTTAAAAAATTTTTTTTCCATCTTTTATACTTCCGACGGTATTCGGCTCGAAATAGAAATACCGTTTTTTTCAAAGGGATGTTTCACTCCTTAAACATGAGTTAGCACACGTATAAAAAAATACGTGTCTCTTTGATTTTTGTGTTTAACGACATATTTCACGGAGAATCAAATCGGTGCTGGACAGTTGGGTGACGTCCCTTGTGAGTCGCAAAATTTTGATTCAATGTATTGACAGAATGGATGACTGAACAGTCGTATAGATTTAGTGAATCCATAGATAGAATTTAATATACGGATATTCTCCTATATTTACACATCTATATATGAACACATTTTTATAAATAATAGTACAAGTATAATGATAAATAACGATAAATATCTGAGTAAAGATAAAAGTACAATTTAATTTAATTAAATAATAAGACAAATAAAATATAAGAATAAAGACAAGATTCATATTATGTGTCCAAAATGCAACAGGATAGCAAAAACTAAAGCTCATTTTGTTATTTATATTCTTTAATTTAAAAAAAATATATATATACGGAAATTTATAGAGAAATTTTTTATGGAGAATGCTATACAATGCTGTGCGACAATGACCGTGGCAACTATGGTAACTGTCGGTAATCGATCGCGATTATGCAAATTATTTGGTGTCTGGTCGTGACAGTTACTGTATTAGACGTTTTTGAGCATCGATGACTCCACCTTTTCATCGTCCGACGAAACAGTTTTGATTATTTGTATTTAATTTTTACCATTCGCTTTTATCTTATTTTATCTAGAATGAACACTTAAACGATTTATTAATATCAAAGAAATTAAATTTAAGTATTCCTAAAGAAATGGGCACTTTTATTGATCAGTGATTTACAGAATATTATGTTTTGTCAGAAAGGCTTAAACTTTATAACGTACAGGAAATAATTATAAAATATCTATATAAAATAAAGAAGAGATAACGAATCGTGATATAAATTAGTTGTCATCTTCAATGATGATAATATGATTTTCTGTTATTTCATCCGTTTCTACATAATTCTAATTTGTCAAGTATTTCTTGATATGATTCATGAAGTTTTTATAAGCTCTTCTTTCAGATGTCTCGTCGGATGGGATATCTTTTTCTTTTCGCCGCGTAACGTCGACTTTATCCGACCGGACATGAGGATGGATAAGGGGCGGTAGAGACGGGGAAGGGGAAAGTATACGGGGTACGGAACGAGTATAGGTGGATGTATAAAGAAACTTTAATTTCTTGGCATTGCGTGAAGTTCCTTGCCCTTTCAGCCTTTTCGGTTCGGTGGTCTGTTTTTGATAGGAAGACTACGCCATCGTCTAGACGCGGCCAAGGGGGTTACCTTTTATAATCGCAACACGAAACGCACCCCTTGACGTGCTCGAACGCAAAAATACCAGTTTTCTTCCCTCCTCCTCTCTCATTCGCTTCCTCTTCTTTTCCCGTGCGCGTCAGTCTTTTCTATTCTTTCGTCGGTCGTCGCCCTTCCTTATACCTACGTATGGGCGCGTTACATTAAAATGATTTATTCACCTTATTAAATTCGCATTCGAGACTAGCTAAGTACGCGGAGTAGACATCCCGCCGAATCGCAAAACCGGAACCCGCCACCCTTTCGAGACGACGAACTTCGCGATGCGTTTGCATACTTCTTCCCCCCCCCCCTTCCTTTTTATTTATTTCTCTTGGCGTCTCGCGGTGGATCGTTGTCGTAGATGACACCTGTTTTAATCTCTTTAGAGACTATTTTTCAAATTAAATGAAAAAAGACGAGTCTGCCATTTGTTTGAAACCCGTTTATACACATATCGTTCGAGTTAACTAAGATTCAATTGAATTTTTTTTCTCTTTCTAAGGATAGAAGAAACAGAGAAAAACCGCGATTGAATAAATTTCAATCAATTCTCTTAAGAATAATTTCAAATTAAATCTTTAAAAAATCGTGTTCACAAAAAATTATGTTACATGAAAAAATTATCTAATGTGGAAACATTTGTGAATTTTTTTCTATTATGCGATATATGCAAACATGTCTTTTTCAAATAAAACAAGCGCATGTATATTGTCGCTTTATCTTTGAACTGAGCAAACACGAATGATTTCAAACTAGATAAAAACTAGAATGTGTCAACATTTCTCTATCCGGTTTTCCATCGTCATCATGGTTTAGTTGAGCCAAAATGAGTCAAGCCGAGCTGAGAGGTGGCGCCGTCTCTCGTTGGAACAGACGATCGAATGGCGGCCGATTATTACATGACATTCCTCGAATACCATTCCAATCTCTCCCTCATCTCCTCTCGCGGCCCGTCCGGAGTCTTCCGCCCTTTCCTCTTTTCTCTTCTCTGACTTACTTTCTCTTTTTCTCTCGGGTTCACCCTTTCTACAGCTTCTCGTTGTAGGGCACGCCTGAGCCTCTCTCCCAGTATGCAAGAGGCTCCGATATCGAAGTCGATACAAACGATAAGCATTTTGTCTTTTTTCCTTTCATGAATTGCGTTAATCTTTGAGGAGTCATATCAGGTCACTTTAATTTCTTTTTT